ATAGAGATTTTACTTTTAATATGACCAGAATTATTCACATTTTCTAACCATTAGTATGTGGCATCTGATTATCTCTATTTTGTGGTATGTTACTAAATGTGAAAAGCCAAAAAACCTAAAATGTGGTTCCTTTAAAAGCATCTTGTAACTCAGATGTGTATTTTTTTAAACAAGCAGTTTGTGATGTACTGGTTGATCTTAAATAACTTCGTTTTTCAAGTTTTCATGAGATTTTCTTAGACTTAAAGTAATGCAGCTAGTGTGTATGACTAACATATGCTTTGTAGATCCCTTTGTACAAAAGACACTTGTAAATTTAAAATACTGGACTTTCAAAAGATTGTCTGATAAAGTAACTATGTATCAAGCCAGGCATCAGGGAGTTCTCTTGATAGAAAGGTCTTAAAAATGCAGTTTTTCTTCTGATGAGCTATAAAGAGGTGGTTCTACATAGCTCCATTTCAGATAATTGGACTTTTTTTCACATTTGTGTGAAATTGGTAATGTATCATGTGCGAATATATTTAGTCTTATAGTATTTACTTTTGGAAAATTATTTTATGGTATGTCTACACTGGAGGGAAAACAGTGTGCTCTTAACTCAGGTTAGCTAACCCAGGTTCTTAAGCCAAGAAGAAACTTGGCTTAAGAACACATCTTTTAAAAAAAAATAGCATTGTAGCTGCAGTAACAAGGGCTGTGGCTTGGGCTTATATACCTGAGTATGAACTCGGGGGTGTAGGTGTGTACATAGTGTGTACATAGCTCATGCTAACCTGAGCATCTGTGCTCCCAGGGCTGCACTGCTGTTTGTAGTGCAGTGGCCCAGGTATGTCTATGTAAACTATGAATCATCTGCCCCGTTCCAAGCATAATTGTTGCCTAAAGGTGATGCAGTACTGTGATGCAGCTGTACCACTTCAGTGCAGACACCACACCAACAGAAGGGATTCTTCAGCAAACACACTGTTTCTGTTTATATTTTTAAGGGCTTATCTGCACTGCACGTGGAGCTTCCTGAGAATGGCTATGTCCAGTTAACTCTGTACAGTTTTATTTTGGAATAAGGCTATCTTGTTCCTGTTTAGTGTGGGTTAAGCTAAACAGGACCAAGAACGCTTACTGTGGAAAACCACACATGAAGTTATTCAAGTATAGTTTTCCCTGAATAACTCCATCTGTAGGGAACCCCTAATCTTTCAACGGCAGTCCACAGGGATATGACCTGTTCAAGTTATATCTTTTAAAAACTAGTTCGGTGAAAGGAACAAACTTGAATATCCTAAAACTAACGTAAAATGTTTTTCTGAAAAGCCTCCTTAATTAGTAAATCCTGGCATTACTTTATTTTTTAAAAATTTAAGTATATTTTTAAATAATTTTCTTTTTAATTTTTGTTGTTGCTTTTAGAAAGAGACTTTTGAGGTGGATCTGAGTGTAATCCCAAGTGCTTAAAACAACCAATCAGCTGTTGCTCTCTCTTTACCCACCCTCTCATGTTTGCTGGCTGCCATATCAGCTTCAGCCTTACAGTTGCTGTTACTGGTACACAGGCCCTTGCATGAACTGTGTATCCCAAAGCAGTACAAGAGAGAAACTGCATTAGCATCACTAATCTCAAATTTTAGAAAACTGATTTCCCTCCTTTAGGAAAAGGAAATCAATCTCTCAGCACCTGGTAAGGTGACCATATTTCTCTGATGAATTCAGGACACCTGATACTTGTACTCATGTGAGTTCAGTGGGAATCAATCTGTGTCGTACAGATTTCAAATGATCAAGTTGACTGAGCTCCTGTTAAAAATAAATACTGCATAGTAGGTAAGCAGTGATCCAGCTAGCAGCAGGATCCACCAGTACTGATGGAGGAGAGTAGAAACAGGATATACAGGACAACTTGCCTGTTTTTTTTTTTTAAGTTGGAACACTTGCAGGAGACTTTAAAACAGGATATCTGGTCACTCTACCACTAGGAAACACCCTGTGTTTTGGGGAGACAGCATGCTAGTATATGAGACCAGGCATGCAACTGACAAAGACAATGAAACTGACTATGCACATGTACAAAGTAAACAAACTGAAAAAATGTCATACTGCTTGGCTTTCTCTTTGATATTTATGTCCCCACTACCTCCCCCACATTTTTTCCTCCTCTCCCCCCCATTCCTTAGTTTTGGTTCTGGACATCCAACACTCTGGTCATCTGAAGAAGTGGGCTGTGCCCATGAAAGGTCGTGATACCATCTATATGTTTTGTTAGTCTTTAAAGTGCTACCAGACTAATTTGTTGTTTAAGTTTTTACTTAACAAGAAACTTCCAAGGTCATTCTAACTTACCACAGTATACACTAAATTGCTCTCTCCACCCTTCCATGCCCTGACTTTCATATTTCTTAGCTCCCACTATACACTCTTGGACTTTAGCTTTATGAATGTTTCCAACTTATGTCATTGCTCTAGTTGTCCTAGGTTTTGTGTAATAAATCTGTTGGGAGAGGGTTATCAGATTCTTTATATGATACAGCAGAGATGACTTACTTTGTTTGCTGTTGTATCCCAAAAACAATACAGTGTACCTATCACATATGGAATTAAAGTAATTGCTATTAAAGCTGTCTTTGCATCAGTGCTTCCTAGAGCCTCAAATATTGATGGCTGGGTAATTCAAGTAATAAATGAAAATGTTATATATGTATTTATAGAAGTCTGGACTAGGCATTATCATTTTATAGAATGCAAAAATGTATAGCATCCTCTAGCAACTCTGAATTATTCTTTAAAAATATATCTTGCAAAGGCATCACAAATCCTTGGCTGTAGAACAGTAGTTCAAATTTTAAAATGTATTTTTAACTTTTTTAGAGCACCTGTTTTTATAGGGTGTTTTCATGTTTTTGTTGTTTGATTTAAAATGTAAGTGCTTGTTTTAATTCAAATTTTGATTCAATTCTGAATTTGAAAAAACCAAACCAACAGTCCCTGCAGTAACTAGCCTGAGCCTTGAGAATGTTAAAACTGCTGAATCATTTAAGAGACAGCTGAATTATTGAATACGATCAAAAAGTAAAGAGACTTCACTGCTGCTGTAGCAATTTAAGGTTTTGATTTTTTGTTTAATATGGAAAAGATACAACTTTCATCATTTAACAAACATACAAAAAATAGTCAAGTAGAATTGAAATTAAAAGAATTACCTTGAACTGAAATAAATTCTTGAATTTAGCAATCAGTTACAGTAAAGTGACAACATTTATTTTGAACGTACAGTAAGCAATTGTCCACAAAGATGCATGAAACAACCATGCTTGCTTGATCTGTCTGGGATTTATTTAGCAAGTAAGAATTTTAATTTAATGTGTACTGGCTAAGATAACTAGTTGTCTGTAGGGTCAAGGTACTGACATCAGAGGCATTTCTGAACAAAGATGTTGCAGTTGGTGGGTGGATGGCACTGCTTTCAGCTGTTGTATGAGCTTGCATAAATAGTATCTCAGCTTTAATCTTGCGGGTGTTCAGAGGTAGTGTGCATATTTCCATTTAACCCCTGGACACTTGCCGGCATGTATGACCCTTTAACAATTCCTACCCCTCTCTCCATCCTTGGCACCTTGGCTCCAAACAGTCTAGGAGTAACTAGCCAGTAACTTTGAAGTTGTAACTGTTTGGTACATCTAAGCAAAAATATTTTGATTTAATCAACAAAAGGTGTCTGTTATATTTCCTGTGTAAATATTTTGTGAAATGTAGTTCACCTGTCCATTATAAGATGTTTACTTTATTTTTATCAGTGTTGATAAACCATGGTAAAATATAGGGGAAAATGAGAACTGAAAAAGATGATTAATGGATTTTGGCATCAGGAGTAAAGCTTGTGTTTTGTAAAATCAATGTTTTTGCAGCATATTTGAGCAAAAGAAGAGTGTAGTGTTGACTTGTATTTTAGGATAACAAATTTCTTTTAAGTAGATCAGCTTTAAAAACTGTTGAAATATTGACCCTTATCTTAAATTTTGTGAATGAGGGGACAACCAGAGCCCCAATCTTAGTTGGCAGGGTACTTTATTATGGTTTGTATAACTACCTCTGTCAGTAGGGAATTATTGGTCGGTCTTCAAGCAGTTATATTTTCTGCTAATTCTGTCCCAGTTCTGAACTTTCTTTGGTGGTAAGTGAGAGCGCTTGGACTTTGGAGGAGTTTTTTGACCAGCTATATCTCATTCTTTGTCACTTGGTACAAATTTAATCATGATCAGACACTAACATGGAAAAGTAACAAACACAAAGGAGGGCCAAAGCAAGCTGCAAAGTGACCTGGACGAATTAGACAAATAGACAACAGAAAGTTGAACTTTCACTAATAATAGGCTTTGTACACTCTTAAAAACGATGTTGGCATAATTTGGAAATAAAAAGTGAACCACTCCTGATCAACATAGCTATGCCAACAGAAATCTCCGTGTAGATACACCTATGTTGTTGGAAGAGGGCTTTTTGACATAACTAACATACTTCAAGGAGGTGGTGTTCCTAAACCAAGGAAGTCCTGTATGTGTAGGCTGAGTCTACACTAGGGTTATGTTCTCGTAGCTAAAGCAGCATAAGCTCAATCAGGTAGACATGTCCCTAATGACTGTAAAGCCTTATGCACAGGAAGATAACTAAACAGCATGTATAGAAAATGGGTTGAGATAACTAAGTAGAAACATGAGTGTCTTAAAGCAGATTTGTTTTCATTCTAATATTACCTTTTCATGTTAACCATGTACTAAAGTCCCCTCAGAGAAGATGTAGAATCTGCACAGGAAGAGGGGTCCATCCAGAGAGCTTTACGTTCTGTGCTTCAGAATCTGAGGAGAAATGGAGCTACTTAGTGCTCTAGTTAGTCAGAAGATGGTTGAAATAACTAGAATAACTTATAGAAGTATTCTAAGAACTTATATTACATCTTAAGCAGTATTACTTTATTGAATATCTTTTAATATATATTCTTCCTTATATAGCAAACTTTGGCCTGTTCCATTTTAACTGCTTTGTTGATCGAGTTCTCAAGTTCAAGTAAAACCAGCAACATTGGACTAAGCATGGAGTTCCATGGTAACTGCAAACGAATATTTCAGGTAAAAACTGAAAGTAATATGCACTATCTATATTTCTGATAAATAGAAATGTTAATACTGTAAAAGAAAAGTTTCATGCTCCAACAAATGCATTAAAATTATAGTATGTACAAAAGACTCCTATATAATAAATCATTAAATGCATTCAAATATGTATTATTTCCTCGTTTAGTAAACATTTTTAATACTAGAAGTGTTTGTTTTAAAAAGTGTGATGCATTTTTGTTTCATGAATGTAAAGCTATGAATTTTACAGATTCATACAAATACAGTAGGAATCTTAATTCCCTGTCTATAGCAAATAAACTAATACTCTTTGGAACAATGATAGTTTTAAATATAGCTTTGGTTAAGAGCCAAGGAAAGCTATGCATTTAAAAATATTATCGCAGATGGTGTGGTCTGGTTGTCTCAGATGTATTGTTTGGCTATGATAAATGTTTTTGTGATGGCATAGTTTTAAGTTCTGTAACTGTTGTGGAACAGCTTATCAACTTCTTCATACCAAAGACCAAATCTCTCCTCTTCTGCCAGTTGTTAGAGAAATATATTTTCAGATTTTTCTTATAATGCCTGATGTTTATAATTAATAAAGTTTAAGCTATTTTTTTAAAAGTTACATTGCATAGGCAGATGGTAAAGGCTTTGTTTCTGTTAAAATAGAAGACATGTTCTAAGATAATGAAAGAATCACATATTTTTCTAAAGAGAATTTAATTTAATTTTTCCTCACTGTTTGCCTGTTCAAGAACTTACTTCATGAATGTGAGACTCCATTAATAGTACCTGAATTCTTCCTGACTGTAGGAGGATGACCTTCGGCAGATCTTCATGCTAACTGTAGAGGTACTACAGGAATTCAGCAGACGTGAAAACCTCAGTGCTCAGATGTCTTCAGTGTTTCAGCGTTATCTTGCACTAGCCAATCAGGTCTTAAGCTGGAACTTTCTTCCTCCAAATTATATCCTTTTAATGTTTGAACCTTTGCTTCAGCTAATTTACTTCACCTGTGATTGATGATTGGAGCCTTAGAAAATGTAATATTTAGAGAATTTTTTCCAGGTTTGGGGGTAATTTATACCTTCTTACTATGCATTTTACTAGTCTCTCCTGTACTTGCTAATATTTACTATCTATTCAAGTTATTATTGTTTTCTCTGTAAAGTTGTAAGTATTTGTCATGAGTAAAATTAGCTCATAGAGGGAGCATCTAGTTATGGGCTGCTGGACTGTCTGGCGGGTGTCTGGATGAATCAGAGTGGGAACTTTAGTCTACTGCTTTAATGTGAAGCCAGGCAGAACCAGCAGGGAGTAGATCAGGGCTCTTGTTTTGCTTTTAATTCTTGTGTATTTGAAACCTCCTTTCTTCTGAGAGAGATTGATGTAGCACTGAGACCATCCAAGGAGTACCCCACTCTGGCTTCTTTGCAAGTTAGGAGAGAAATCCGTACTACTTTTTCCATGAGCAGGAGAAAAGCATCTTAGAATCCTACTAAGAAAAACACATCTTCCCTTTCCCCCTGACAAGTTTCAGGTTGCCTTAAAAGAGTCCCTTTGCCCCCCCATTCCTTTGTGCGATAGGTAGCTAATCTTGGGAACTCAAAGAAGTGGATGAAGTTTGAAAAAATGAAGAAGGGGAGGAATATAATGCTGGGACTGAAAGGGGAAGAGTCATGGAGGAAGGGGAAGAAATAACAAAAGAGGAATAGATATACCAGGAAATAAACGTACGTACGTGTGTGTGTGTGTGTGTGTGTGTGTGTGTGTGTGTGTGTGTGTGTAAATGTACTAGAAGAAAATCAGTGTATGCAGTAAACTTCATTTTGCATTTATCCAACAAAAAATTAAATGGCAGAGCTACAATTAAACATTTTAATAAGTTGAAGCAAGGAACTTATTAAAGTACAAGGAACTTCTGTGTGTAAATAGTGCTGAGCATTTACAGCCAGGGGTGACTTTCATCCCAGACTTATAAATCTTTTCAAATCTATTTGCAGTGGATGACACACACTACAAAAAGTCCTTCGATGTTATACCTGAATCCCCCATAAGGAATTTATTGCTGGCAGAAATATTGTGGTTATGGGTGATCAAAACATGTTGAGGTTTTTTTTGGCCCTGATTTCTCTGTGTGTGTGAAACAACAGATAGTAAAAGTGAGAGTTCCATGCTTGAAAATGGACATTCATAGGGTTTTGTCCATTTATTTGCAGTTCTGAAATTCAGTGGTTTTGCAGTTCTGACTCCAGTGGACTGGATTAATAGCCCTGATTTAACTCAGCTAACGTCAGTGAAGTTAATCCAGAAATGTGCTTTGAAGACTGATTCTGGAAGCCAACTGCTGAATGGGCTGACATTGTGTAAGGAAAATTTGAGATTTGCAGAATATTTGATGTCTTTTGTAAGGACCTGTTGCATTTTGACAGCATCCAAAGAAGAGGGACATGTCTAAGCTATTATGTGATGAAGGGTTTTCCCACTGGTGTTGCTTTACCCTACTCCAGGGACAAGGAACCTTTTTTGGGTCACTGATACACAGAAAAATCAGTGGGGACCACATACTAGTGAAAAACAACCCCTCACTTGGCCCTCAACTGAGGAGGAGGGAAAAAAGACACTCCCCTTAAGATCCTTCACCCACAGGAGGGGAAAGAGAAGTTGCTGAGGCCCAGGGTTTACCCCCTCCTCTCCCAGGATAGGATTAACTCTTCTGGGGCCCTGGTGCTAGTGGATATTGTGGGGCCTCTTAGAGCTCTGGGGTGGAACCAGAAATGAGGGGGTTCAGTGTATGGGAGAGAACTTCTGGAGAGTGTACTGCGGGTAGGCGTACGGAGTCTGGGTAGGAGGTAGGGTGCAGGAGTGGGGTGGAGATTTGGGTGGGAGATATGGTGCAGGAATGGGAATGTGGGGTCTGGAAAGGAGATAGTGTAGAAGTGGGCTGGGAAGAAGTAAGTAAGGGGGCGTCTGCCTGGCGCAGCTCCCAGGGGGCATAGGTTGTACTGTGCAACTGTGCATGTTGCAGGGAAGTGCTTCTGCAAGCACTGCCCATCACCATGATTCCTGGCCAATGGGAGTTGCGGGGGATGGTGCCTATGTGGAGTGCTTCCCTGCACTGTACAGAGCCGCTTCGTTCCTCTTGCAAAGCAGAGCCTGTGGATTGTATCCAGCCTGTGGCTTGCCTTGATCAGGCCCATGAGGCTTGGGGCTCCCCGCTGCAGTGGAGATCTGGTTCTCTAGCCATAATATCCCCCACGTGGTTGGAGCACAAGTGCTGGGTCATTCTACTGTGGTGGAGAAGCCATGAGCCTTGCAGGCCCAATCCATGCAAATCGCAGGCCTGATCCAGTCTGTGCCTCTTAGGTTCCCCACCTTGAATGTAGTGGAGAAGAATACCACAGTTGAAAACTAGGATAAGACTTGCACTGGGACACAATGTTCCCTCTAAGATTTCCCATCCATGAGTGGAGTGAGTTTTTTGTCTTGTGCACCAATATTGATATCATGTGTGCTTGCTCGGATGTGTGCCACTGCATCCAAGTTTATTAATAAATAACGTACAAATATTTTTTTAAAACGTTATGGAAGAAAAAATACTAACAGGATAACTAAGAAGGTGCATGACTTTAAATGTTTAATATGAAGTCAAATAAAATAAAATCAATCCTGCAAAATTTTCAGTAGCCAACTTCCTCTGTTTATAGCCCTCTCCCAGATCCTACCCCAGCTGGGCTTTCTCCTCAATTAAATCTTGCTTTTCTTTCAAAGAATAGTTGTTTCTGAATTCATATCTTCGACCGGTGTGTACAGTGCAGTATCCATAGGTCAACGGGATGAATCATAGAACAACCTTTCTGCTAAGTGTAACTATGACAGAAAATTACCATGTGATCGTCAGAAATTAAAGGATATTTGTATTTAACTTCCGAAGCTCAACGGTGTAGCTGAATTAGTCTGTACAGGATAAACTTAAACAACAAATGGTCTGGTGGCACTTTATTGACTAACAAAACCTATAGATGGTATCATGAGCTTTTGAGGGCCCTCAAAAGCTCATGATACCATCTATAGGTTTTGTTAGTCAATAAAGTGCCACCAGACCATTTGTTGTTTAAATTTATTTCTGAGCTTGTGTAGGATACACTCTCCATTGCACACTTAGACAACAGCTTATTGAATATTTTCCCCCATTCACATTGTGTCTCAGGGCCAATGTTCCCTCTAAGATTTTCCATCTGTGAGTGGAATGAGTTTTATCTTGAGCACCAATATTGATGCCAGGTGCACAGTCTCACTGAGGCCCAGCTCCAGCTGCGGCACATGTGGCAACCTTCCCTCCCCCCCACCCGCTCGGCCACTAGAGCATTGCCTCCGCCACGCTGACTGCTCACTGCCACCAGGGACTCTCCCCTGCAGATCTGCTCTCCGATGAATCAAGTACGGATTTCCCTTAATTGTCTGATTTGATCAACTCATAAGCATTCTTCAAAGCTTGAATGTCTATTAATAAAAATACTGTATAAAAAGGTGACACTATTATTTTCTTTATGCCACAGTGCACAGGCACTTGACAGTATTATTTCAAGTCATCAACTCAACTACAAGAGTTCTTATTTTTCCTCAAAGTAAAGATATGTTTGTTTGCATAGAAAGGTTATCAAAGGAATTTGTATAAAGCTAAGCACATGCTGGATGGGAATTTCTTGCAGTTTTAAATAAAAAAAAAAATCAAGCCAAAAAGAAAACAAAGGACATTTAAGGCTTGTTTTGAAATTCCTTGAAGTTAATGAGAATCTTTCCATTAACTTCATTGGACTTTGGATCTGGTTCTTAAAGCTGTTATTTTAAATCAGTTGTTTTGAAGTAAATTATTTAACTAAAAAAAGTGACGTATTATGGCTTTTACTTCATTTTGTCCTCTAACAAAGACATTCAAAGTACTCAAAGAAAAATATTTTCTCTAAAGAACTGATAAAGGCCCTTGTAGGGCAAGAACTTCCATGATCCTCTTTTATTTAAAATAGATATCGAGTTACATTTCTATACATTATGCAGACATTTACCTTGTTGGTTCCAAGTTACAGACAACTGCTGTCTGATCACTAACTCCATGTTCTTAGTTGCAAATCGTCCGGCTGAAGAAGTCTGTATTTTGTGTTGTGAATGCAATAAGCACAATTGTTTCAAATAAATGCTAGCTACAGAGATACTTGACTTAATTAAATCAGATAAAAAATCCTAAATTTATTTTTGTTCCATAGTTATTACTGTGCTATTAAATCTCCATTCTTCACACCGGAAGGTCTATTTAGATCTCAAAAACAGCTAAAGCTGCCAGATAGAAATAGTGGTGGGGGTGTTTGAATTATGTATAAAGCGGAGCATTGCTCATCTCACTTCAGAGACACTAGGAAACCAGCAAAACAAACGACACATAGTTTAGTCCTTTGTCTTTAAGAAACGGTACAATATTGTACAGCAGTGGTATGTGCACAAGGAGGAGTATCCAGAATGTGGTGGGGGATACCATTGGTGCCAGTTGGGGGATGGGTGATCACAGGCTGGACCTGGCCTTTACTATAAAGGCTAGAACCCACAGAAACTTAGTCCTCTGACATCCATGCTGCCGCCCTGCATGAGCCCCAACTCCCCTCATGAACCTTGCTCCCCTGTCCAGTAATTCATCAATACACTTTGCTTCCCACTTCAGGCTTGTGCCCGGGACACACTTGCCTTTCCAGGCATAGCTTTCCCAGCAGCGTGGGTCCATGTGGCCCGCCCTGGGAATAGGTGGGCAGCCACCATGCAGTCCTAACTGCAGCACCGGTCCTGGGGAAGGGCTGAAGTAGGGACCAGAGTCATGTGGTGGCTGCCCAGCTGTTCCTGGGATGGGACTGCGTGGCGGGAGGTTACTCCATGTGCCGGGGCTGGAGCTGGAGCTGCAGTGCTATTTTTAGTACCCCA